CCCCGAGACGCCCTCCTCCGCCCGCACCCCTCCTGCCTTTGTCCCGCGGCGGGACCCCCGCCCCTCGCGCTGCTCCTGTGAACCGGCCGCCCCGCGCGGAGGCGGGGGCGCCTCTCAATGCCGCGCCCGCGGCTCCCTCCAGATTTGTAATCCGCCAAAAAGCCGCTGATTGCCGCAATCGTTACTTTTCATTAAAAAAACTTAGAAGCAATTTGGGAGAACCCTTCTCAATGAATACATTTACCCCCGCGCGGGCTTTATTCTCCGCCTCCACTTGATGAGTTTCTCTGGCACGAATCCGTCCTTACAGGCACAGAATGGGCAGTCCCTTGATCCCCGTCAATCGTCGTCCCGAGTCGGGGCCACTTTGACCGCCAATGGTAGGGAAGTCAGGGCTAATCCTCAGACGGAATCACGGGAAAAGAAAAGCAACAATAACCAAGTCAAGCGTAAAAAATGAAAGAGAAATCTCTATTATCACCCACTACATTTCCCAGCTATGTACTGAAAAAATCAGCTCGCTTGTCATTCGAGTCAGACACCCGCACAAGAATATGGGGTCGTGGTGGGTTGGTAGACTCACACGACGTAAGGAGAGATGTTTGAGAGCCAGAGGCCTCCCTTCGGCCTCTGCCAAATCCTCCTCACATCCGCCATAACCATTAAATACAGACTGACTTTATTCTGTAGGGGGAGGCCCAGGGGTGGGTGGGGAGGGAGCCCCCAGCTGTGCATGGATAAAAAAAAAAAAAAATTCCCGGAGGGGTGGGGGCGGGGTGTGGATGCTAAAGAAACGCGCCCCTCTCGCCGGCACCTCCCGCTCCGGGCCCCGCGGGAGGCGGGGCCTCGCCGCCCGGGTGCAACCGCCGCGCGGGGGGGCCTCCTGTGCCCTTGCCCACGTCCCCCGCAACCCCGCGGGCGCGTGGCCCGGGCGGATGGATCCTGGCGCGGGCGCGGGTGCGCTGGGCGCGGCGGCCAGGAAGGGTCGCACGGCGACACCCGAGCGGGGACAGGCGCTGCCACTTCCCACGCCGACGCCCGCCAGGATCGGACACCGCCTTGATGCCTTCCTGCCGTCGCAGAGCCCGGGCGAAGTTAGTCCTAAGAGGCCGGGAGGGGGTGGGGGACGCGTCTCCGGGAGGGGTCGCCCGGCAGCGACCCTCGATCGCTCCCTCCCAGGAAGGACCCTCGAGGTCGGGAGCCGTTCCCGCGCCCCGGACGCGAGGTCCGCGGCCCGATCCTCCTCTCCCCCCACCCGCTCTGAGAGGTTCGCGGGACCTGAGCCCTGAACCCAAACGACCCCCAGCAGAGGAAGCCCCGGACCAAGAAACGCACAGTCGAGGCTCGCGCAGCAGTCTCTCGGCGTGCGCTTCTCTCCCTGCGTTCCAAAGGCCCAAGTGGCGGGGGGGGGCCCTTGGATGCTTTCATTTTCCCCGAGTGGGTCGGGGGAGCCTCCCTGGATCCGGAGAGAGGCCGCCTTTCCGGGGCCCTCGCGAGGCAGAGGCCAGGCCGCGCGCGCATGAAGGTGGTTCCTTCCTCTCCTCGCCCGGCCCCACCAGGCCCCGGGGCTCCGCTCCCGCCTCGCCCCCAGGCACCCACACCCGTGGGGCCTACTGTGCCCCTCCCTTTGAGGAACCTCTCCGGCTTGTCACCTCCCCCTTCGCGCCACACACACACCACGTACCCCACACACCGCGGGGCACGTGTGTATATCCCACACGCTACATACCATTCGTCCCCACGTCCACACACTAGTGTTTGCACGAAGGAAGGACGCGTTCACGCAGCAACAAGCTTAGGAAACGTGTCCTCATTTGCACAAGAGCTGGCTCACCTGCGCGCGCGCGCGCACACACACGCATTCCTGCACACTCCCACGCTCTCTGTGCAAGTGCGCTCTCGGGTGCCCACGGACTGACTCCGTCCCACATGGCAGGTCACGCGGGGGTAAGGAGCCATCCAGGTGGGGGTCACGAACTTTGGCCCTAGGTCCTGGGCCTCGTTGCAGGACCCTCGTCCGTACAGATGCCCCAGCTCCCCGTGGGGCCTGCGCTGCACTCTCGCGCTGCACCCTGCGGGCGCTGCACCGGAAATGGAGTCTCCCGGGTGGGCCTCACCCCGGAGCCCGCGGCGAGGAACAGACGGTGGACCCGCTCGCGAGGTCTCAGACACCCGCCCACTTGCCCCCTAAGAGGGCATACGATTTGCCCTCCCGTGATCATGGGAGTGGGGGTGTGACTGTGACGGTCCGGGAAGAAGGGGATCCGACCCGAGTGACTCCTACCCGGCCCAGGTTGGGCTGCTCGGGCCTGGGAGGATGGCGTGGAGGCCGAGGGTGATTGTCAACGTCTACAAAGCCAGTGAGAGCTTTCAGCCCTGCCCCAGATTTACATAACCGGGAACCTAACGCTCTGTCCGCAGTCTGGAAAGGGTGCTTGGAGAGAGAGGGCGACACAGCAATCCTAATTAGTGATTTTTGTCCCCTTGTTACTGGGCTCAGCATCTCATGCAAATGAACTCTTCATTTCAGCCACATTACCCAGCTCCAGAATTAACTGACTCTTATCTTTAATGATATGCTGCTGGAGTTCACTGAGCCCAGCTAGCTTTTTATCTTGATTACTCTAATCAATAAGAAATGATAGAGTAGAATTATAAACTCTATTGGCTTTTAAATGTTGCCGACAAGCCCTCTAGATGCCATTCCTGTTCATTGTTATTTATTAAAATGATCCTCAGCCTAACAGGGATACAAAGAGGGGTGAGCAGGGAGAATTTGCCCTGGGACTCATCCTGGCAGTCCCTGACACACCACCCCAAAATCCCAAGGGAAGATTCCTCAATGTTTAGAGGTTGAGAAAGTGGAAGATATTCTTTTAAGTCTTTACAATGAAATCCTTCTTTTTGTTTGTTTGGTTTTTGAGTCAGCATCTTACTCTGTCACCCAGGCTGGAGGGCGGTGACACCGTCATGGCTTACCACAGCCTGGACCTTCTGGGCTCAGGCAGTCCTGCCACCTCAGCCTCCTGAGTAGCTGGGGCTACAGGCACGTGCTACCAAACACAGCTAATTTTTAAAAAATTATTATTTGTGTCTTGATATGTTTCCCAGGCGGGTCTCGAACTCCAGGCTCAAGCAATCCTCTTGCCTTGGCATCTTAAAGTGCTGTGATTACAGGCATGTGCCACCACGCCTGGCTATTGTTAAAAATTTTTTTGTAGAGACAAGATTTAGCTGTGTTGCCTAGACTGATCTCAAACTCCTGGGCTCAAATGATCCTCCTGCCTCGGCCTCCCAAAGTACTAGGGTTACAGGCATGAGCCACAGTGCTGATCAGAAACTTGTTTTTATCAGAGAGCCAGGGAAACAAAATCAAATTAAGATACGCCAAACCCCCACCCCATCCAGATAGTCTTAAAGGTAGAAGCTTTGAAAAAGGTACGTCGAATCCCAGAGTTTTATTCTCTGGAAATAGCGTGTACACACACACACACACACACACACACACACACACCCCTTTCTGCATACCAGTATCTCTAGGCTTGTGTGTGTGTGTGTGTGCATAATTTCAGATAGCTAGACTTCGGGAATGCAATTTCTCTCTGTTTTCTTGGGAGGAAAACGGCTTGAATCTCTCTGTGTGCGCGGAAGGGCGCCTTCAGCTCCTGGTGGCCAGGGTGTCAAAGCGCCTCCAATAGCGAGTTCTTGGATTCTAACACTTCCACATCAGCGGCGCTGAGATCCAGAGTCCATCTCTCGCCCACACCCTCCCAAGGTCCCAGGATCCCAGCCCACCGGTCACAACTTCCTCAGGGGCCCCATTGGAGAGGCACTGTGTGTTTCCCAAGCAGTCAAGCCAGAGGGTATGGGCCTGTCTTCTTCCCTGCGGCTCCCAGGAGTGAAAGGTGTTGGTGTTGTGAGCTTTGTCGGAAGAAGATAGGAAACCTCCCTCCTCACCCTCCACCAGCGCATCACCCGCCTCCCTCTCGACCCCGAGCTCGGCCCGGGATCGGGTGGGAGCGTTCAGGGCGCCCCTCGAGGGCCCAGGGCTGCTGAGAACACCAGGCCGCCACCTCTCATCGGAATCATGCACGAATCTCGCCAGCTTTCGTTTAGATCCAGTAAAAACCTATTAGGCGTCTACTCCGCATCGGGCGCTTTGTCAGGGGCGCGGCCCGGGATCGGGGGCTCCGGGGACCTTGTCCTCCGCTCGCGTGACCCTCCGCCCCCGGGCGCCCTGGATGGGCTGGTGGCGTCCCAAGCCCCGACAGCGCGCAAGCGGGGGACGCACACGCACGAATTCCCTCGCCGCACCTCCCGCCTGTCCCTGCCCCGCGGCCCGGCAGGCGCCCCGCAGCCGTCTAGAAGCGTCGACGCACGGCCGGACGCGCCCGCTGCGGGGAGGCCCGACCCCAGGCAGCCTGGGATCCCGCTCTTTCCGTCCCGCACTCCCGGCACAACCCGGGGAGCGCCTTGGCGCTCTGGCCTCGCCAGACGGGGGAACCGCGCGCGCGGGTTACCCGAGGCTCCGGGCCGCCGAGCCAGGGACCCGCCACCAGCTGCCCGCGGGCGCGAAGGAAGGCGAGGACCGCTCGCCCGGAGCAGACCCGGCCGCGGCGCAAGCTCAAGTCCCCCGTCAAGGCCACGGCCGATCCGTGGAAAGGGAAGTTGGAAATCGCCGGCAGGCTGAGCCTCTTTTTTTTTTTTTTTTTTTAATGACACATGGGGGGAAGGGCTGAATGTATCAAAATCATGTAAAATTTCTGTTCTTAGCAACATCCTTGTTATTAGGAATGATGACTAAACCGCCAGGATTATTCTGGACTGTAAGTTATCAAGAGCCCCCTAATTTCACATTAAAGCCCATTGACTGCAACGGCGTGATTGAAGGGTTTTTAACAATTAACATAATCAGAAAATGAGCTGAGATAATTTTTATTCAACTCATTACTTTTTAATCATGTATTTCTTTTAATTAATATCTTCTCCGTGAACATAACACAAAGCGGAGCCCCAGCGCTGGCCCAAGCCAGCCTGCGGGACTGAATTTGACACAGCCAAACAGTTCCCCGGCACCATTTATCGCATCTCTATTGTGGTGTGGGCGAAATAGAAAAATCTTGTCCAAAAGTCACCACGTTGTTTTGAAACACAGTTTAACAAGGGGAGGGGTCGTTGGGAGCGCGCAGCCACCCGCCTTCAATGGGACTTGACTTTTCTATCTGGGCGCCTGTCTTGGTGTGCGGCCAGAAGGACCCGAAACGGGAAGAAACAGAAAGAACGGGAAGAAAAGGCTTTTGGAGATGCACGCCCGGTCCCGGATCCGCAGGGAAGCGGCTGTGGTGGCTTGCGCCTAGGACGCCGCCCGGCTGGGGGCACAGTCGGAGGCACAGGCCCGAGTCTTGGCCTAGGCGATGCGGTCCGAGGCGTCCGGGCCCTTCCACCATCGCCACCCACCTCCTGGGCTCGGACCCAAACGGGAAGTCCCTCGGCTCCCCCAGCCCGCCTGGAAGTGGGACCTGCGAATCCTCCTGCGGCGGGGTCCTGGGTCACCGCCACGACCCCCGCGCGCCGGGCCCAGGCATCTGCATTGCAGCCTCGCTGCCGTGACCTCGTCCGTCCCCAACCCGGGAGACCTGGTCCACTCAAATGTCTCAGTTATGGGGGAGAACGGGCATTTTTGGTGGCACAGAGGGTTCCGGACCCTCCCCTCCCCCAATATCCCCCGTCTCCACTCGGGGCAACTCTGACCCCGGGAGTACCCCGGCGTCTCCTCCGACTCATACAAATAAAAAAAATTTAAAAATCTGGAGACCGAGAGCTCTCCTAGCAATGGGAGGCGCATCAGCCTCGGAAAAAAGAAACAAAGCCGACCCCTGGTGGAGGAAAATGAAAATTTAAGAAGATAGGGTTCGGGCGAACCCCTCTCCCACACGTCTGCTTGGAGAGAGGCGGGGATAAGGAGGCAGCAGAGGGAGGGAAAGGATGGATAAAGAGCAATTTGAGAGAGATGGAGAGCGGAGGAGGCCACAGAGCAGGTAGATTTGAGGTTCGGGGAGCTGTGGAGGCGACACCCCAGGGACTGGCCTTTGCAGCCATGGTCAAGCACGTCTCTTCAGCCCTCGTGGCCTGGCCAGTGTCAGGCGTCAGGCAAGGACATCTGATTTCCTCTTTCTCGCTGGTGTAAGCCTGGGAGTTCTGTGATTACAGAGAACAGATGCGGGCTGCTGTTGGACACGTGCAGCTGCCTCCTGCCGTCCCCAGAGAGCATCTGGAATCTTCCTTCTCTTTCTTCTAGACAAGCATCTGCCTAAGGCCCTGCTGACCTCTCAGTCTGCGGTGGGTGATGGCAACTAGGGCCAAAATCCAACCTACCAAGGGGACAGTGGCTTAGAATGCAAGCCCCTTTCATCTCTGGTATTTATTTGTTTTTCAATATTTATTTATGTATTGAGTCACGGCTGGCTGCTGCAGCCTTGACCTGCTGGGCTCAGGTGATCCTTCTGCCTCAGCCTTCCAAGTCACTGGAATGACAGGCATGTGCTACCACACCCGGCTATTTATTTATTTATTGTAGAAATGAGGTCTCACCATGTTGCGCAGGCTGGTCTCAAACCGGTGGGCTCTGGCAATCCTCTTGCCTCTGCCTCCCAAAGTGCTGGGATTACAAGTGTGAGCCACCGTGCCCGGCACTCAGGCTCTTTTTAAAGCCTCTTTTGAATCTACTGTCTGGACATGCCTCCTTGTTTTCTCCCTCTTCTTCATTCTGCCTCATCTCCCAAACTCTCCTGTGTGTA